TGGCACTTGGAACTCGGACTTCTAGCCTCCTGAACTGTAAGAGAATAAACTCCTGTTTGTTAAGGCCATCCCATTTGTGGTATATTCCTGTCAGAGTGGCACTAGGTAACCGGAACAGTCTATGATCTATTTTGAGTTAATTTTGTGAAAGGTAAGGTCAGAGTCCAGGTTCATCTTTTGCATGTGTGTGTCAGTTGTCCCAGCATGATTTGTTGAAAAGACTAGCCTTTCTTTCTTTCTTTAAATTGTGATTTGGGTGAAAATTTACAGAGCAAATTCATTTACCATTCAACAGTTCATTCACATTTTGTTTCATGACATTGATTGCAATCCCCATAATGTAACAGCTCTCTTTCCACTTCCTCCATGTGGTTATCTTTTCCCTGTGTTGTCCTTTCCTACTACTTGTGGTAGTTAAGGTTGTGTGTCAACTTGGCTCGGCAGTGGGTTTGAGTGGCTGGGCAGCTGGAGGTAGTTATTCCCCATATTGAGACTGGTAATCAACTCCATGACGGAATCTGCTGTTAGCAGCTTCTTAGCTGCCTTTGGGCATGCTTCCAGTATATAAGAAGCTTTGAGAAAGGTCTCCGAGGTTTTGGCACATTTGGATCCTATATTTGGTCAAGTCTTCATAACCAGTGTCCTGCCAATCTTGGCATTGTTCCTGGACTTGAACCAGTAGCCTGCTGTGTTGTCTACCGATGTTGAGATTGTGCCATTTTACCTGCTGACCTTGGGTTTGTCAGCCACAGCTGCCAGCAGCTGTCTGAGTTAGGGGACACCTCTAGCTCCAGTGGACCTGGAATAATAGGCAGAGAGCCGAAGCCCAAGGTTGAGGGGTCTTCACACAGCCCTAGAGCTGACACTCTGAATTTGCACCTCTAGCCTCCTAAACTGTAAGAAAATAAATTCCTGTTTGTTGAAACCATCCACTGTGGTATTTCTGTTATAGCAGCACCAAAGAACCAAGATACTATGCATTCCTGCCCTCTGGTATCTCCCTGTGTGGACACTGCCCTTCTTATCTCCCATGGTTGATTGTTCTCAGGAGTGTCCTTACCTGGTGTAAATGTTCACCTTATTGGTGTAGTGCCTAAGGCATTTGACTGTTAACCAGAAGGCTGGTGGTTCAAACCCACCAGCCACTCCTCGGAAGGAAGACTGGGCAATCTATTTCCGTAGTGCTACCACCTTGGAAAACCAAGGAAGTGTTACTATGAGTTGCATGTGACTTGACGGCAGTGTGTTTGGTTTGGTATCGTTTGGTTAGAAGCTACGGGAATGAGTTCAATTCTAGGCTCAAAGGATGACTAGGGGCCATAGTCTTAGAGGTTTCACCAGTCTCTGTTAGACCAATAAGCCTGGTCATTTTTATGTCTGAGTTTTGTTCTACGTTTTTCTCCCACTCTATCCAGGATCTCCTATTCTGACCCCTTTTCCGAGTGGTTGACAGTAGTAGCCAGGCACCATCTAGTTCTTCTGGTCTCAGGGTCAAGTAGGCTAAGGTTCGCATGGTCTAGTCCCGTGGACTAATTATTTCCATGCATCTTTGATTTTCTTCATTCTTCTTTGCTCTGGAGAGACCAATTGCTCCATCTTAGTTGGCTGCCAGCAAGCTTTTAAGACCCCAGTTGCTATTTACCTAAGTAGGATATGTTGTTTGTTGTTGTTATGTGATGTTGAGTCGGACCCGACTCACAGCAACCCCTCCTTGGGTTTCCGAGGCAGTATCACTATGGAAGTAGATTGGCCCATCTTCCTTCCAAGGAGTGGCTAGTGGGTTTGAACTCCCAGCCTTCTGGTTAGCAGTCAAGTGCCTTAGGCACTACGCTACCAGAGCTCCTAAGTAGGATATAGAACAATATTTTTGTGTGGTATGTTATGCCAGTGGAGCTCGATGTCCCCCACAGCCATGGTCTCAAGCCCATAGGCCCAGTGACTCACTCCCTTCAGGTGTTTGACTGCGACTAAAGTTATCATAACTTTACCCCATTTGCTCTATTATATATATATATGGACATTCTTATAGCACATACAAGTATCTATGTAGAAATACCCTCTGCCAAACTTATATATGGTCATGGGCATATTCCCTTTTGCCTACCCACATTCTGATTATTAATGCATGTTTGCAGCTATTCTCACTTTGAGTCATGCCACATCAGCAAATGAAGGTCCCAAAAGCTTTAGTCCATTGATGTCATTAAGGTCAACTCTACTTTGAGGATGCAGCTCTTCCCTAGTCCTGTTTGGAGTGCCTCCCACTGTATACTGAGCTAACCAAGATTATAACTCAGCAGCCGAGAGTGCTGGGGACAGGGAAGAAAAGAGCTAAGTCTTCATCTTCTCTAGTGGAATCAACAGATTATGACTAAAATGGACAAGTCAAGATGTAGTCATACAAGTGTGTTATTTAGAGACATGAAGGTAAATACCAAAATAACCAGGTAAAAGCAGCTGCCTCTGGGGGGGGGGGGAGAAGTAGGGGTAGGAGGACTATCTGTTTACTAACAGACCACATGGAAATACTTGACTCCTTAATTAATTTTGCCAAGTAGGAAGTAGGTTTACCAGTAGTACAAACAGTTAAGTGCTCAACTACTAGGCAAAAGGTTTGTGGTTTGAACTAACCCAAATGCACCTCGAAGGACAGGCCTGGCGAGTTCTCTTAGAAAGCTCACAGCCTTGAAAACCACAAGGAGCACAGCTCTACTGAGCACAGGCAGGGTTGCTGTGAGCTGGAATGGAGTCACTGGCAACAGGGCCCTAACTGAGATTTCTGGGACTTTTGGGGCTCAGGCCACATCCTCATCAACCCCACTGCTTCTGCATTTGAATGTCTGAGTCACATCCAGCCAGTCATGGGGTTCAGCACTTGTATGTCTGAGACTCCAGAAAGAAACACCATCAGGTATTTGGCCATCCTCTCCCCTCACAGCAGCAAAGCCCAAATTCCCAATTTTCCAACGCAAAGCATCAAAGCTCAGTGAGCACCATCTTACAGAGGCCTCTTATTCAAACACTTTAACAGGTATCCATTACTGCTCCCATTTTACAGATGGCGATAGGGAAGTTTTGAACGGCTCAAGGTCACAGAGCTAATGGGAGGTAGAGATTCAGATTCAGGTGTTTCTGGGAACCCACCACCTCAGTGTCCCCACCTTGTCTCCCAGCAGTTCTCTCTGAATTCCCTGGACCTTGGTCAGAAAGGCGAGCCTTGTGGGGTGAGGGGGTTGAGTGGAGGCCCACACAGGTAACTCGCTCAGGGTGCTCAGGCTGCGTGGAGGCAGCACTGCCAGGCCAGGGTAAGGAGAGAGGCAGCACCCGGAAGGTCAGCTGCCTGAGCTGGTCTCCACCCTGGGTGGCCTTGGACACATTTCTTTCTGGAGGGAACACTACTTTCTTCACAGGTGGTTGTGAAGATCAGTTAGGTTGGTGCATGGAGCTGGGGCCTGGACTACTGCTCTGTTTGAGTGACAGCCTTGCAGCCCTCCCTGTGCAGAGGCCCTAGCTACGGCTCTACCAGCTGCCTTGTGGGTGGGGAGACCCTGAGAGGGAAGGCAGCTTCCCAGAGGTATAGGAACAGAGTGGGGAGGGGGTTAATGTTATTGGGATTGAGGTCAGGTGGAGTCCAGAGAGGGGCTGAAGTACCTGATGAAGTTAATGGCAAGGATCCTTGGTCCCTCTCCCATTCTATCAGAGTTCCAGAAATCACTCCCTACTCGGCATCTGGCTCCAAAGAGGCTGCCAAGGGCAGGGACAGATTCCAACACATTCCCAAGCCTCCAGGGATTACCCACCCATGGCCCTACCCATAGGCTGGCTGGGAGGGGCTAGTGACTGCAGCTTTTCTGAAATCAGTTTTTTCAGATCAGTTGGGAAGGTGCTCTTTTCTCCCCCCAGAGCCTCAGTCCAGATGGGTGGGAGGAGCACCCAGGGCTGCAGCTTCAGTACCTTGGAGAGGGGACTGGGCTGGGCCAAAGGCGCAGTTCCCAACCACTTTTAATTTCGTTAGTAATTGGCAGAGGGCACTCAAGAGGGTGAGCAGGCACTGTTGAGCTCAGCTATGCCTGCATCACCCCCAAGGTGATGTCTCCCGGCAGGCCCCAAGGTCAGCTTCTGCATCTTCCCTGGAGTCTGAGAACACCCAGAACTTGTCAACCCCATGCCTTGACTCCTCAGGGTATGTTACTCCCCGACCTTGCCTGGGGCTTGGTGAAGGAACACCCAGTCACCTTCCCAGGACAGATCTGGGTCTGGAGGTTTGGTTTGGTTTGATTGCTTCCCTCAATGCCAGATTACACAGGGAGCAGCCAGCCTGCCTAAAATCCCTGCTCCTCCAGTCAGACTTGCAGGCTGGGAGCCAGACACTCAAACCCACAGCAGAGCCCAACAATGGCCGGTATAGCCTTTGCTCAGGCTCAGTCAAGGTCAGGGACACATGATCCAGTACTTTGTTATAAATACACGTTGTTTGGTGAGTGAAGGGCAACAGAAGGCAGAGAAGGCGCTGTACACAGCTGGTATAGGCTTGGAGGCTGGACGCCACATGGAGAGAGAGTAAGACAGACAGTTCACCCAGCAGGGCAGGCCGGGCAGCATTGTGGGGCCAGTAACACTTGGTTGGTTGGTGAGAGCCCGCAGAGAGTCTTGTGCGGGGCTATGGGGGCCCGGGCCCCCTGGGGCTCCCTGGTCCGAGGTTTTTGGGTAGTGACGGCGGCGGCAGCAACAGCTCCAGACTCAGCTCACATCATTCAGGGCCTGGTGGGACACTGGAGTTAGGGGGATGCTGGGTTGTGTGGGGCCAAGGCTGCCCTTTGGAAGCCAGGGTCCCCACCACACGCCCCAGGACCGTTTACCTTGCGGGCAAACTCGGGCAGCACGAAGGCCGCCCGGTGGACATCTGAGTTGTAGTACTTCAGTTGCCTCTGCTCCACCTGCGTCTGTGTCAGCTGCTGCACTGGCTCCCGGAAGTTGGTGCTCTGGACGCATCAGGGAAGAGGGGACGGGGCATCAAGGGAGGGTGCTCTGTGCCCAGCCCCCCCCCCCAACTCTGGCAGCCCTCAGCTCACTGGGTTCTTGCTGCACAGCATGAAGCCGATCTGGCCGCTGGGGTAGGTGGGGATGGTGCAGTAGGCGTAGGCCACCACGGGGAAGAGTGACTTGCAGAACTGCCGCATCTCTTTGATGAGGTCCAGGTGCAGCCATTGGCACTCACCTGAGGGGAGGGGGACTGAGTCAGCATGAGTGGGTGGGGCTGGCCGCTCCCACCCCACACTGCCTAGTTCCCTGAGGCTGGGCTCACCCTGGCAACAGAGAATGCCATCTTCCTTGAGGGCAGTCTTCATGAGCTGGTAATAGGATTCCTTAAAGAGGCTCTCAGCAGGGCCTATGGGGAAGGAGAGACAGGCACAGTGAACACACCCTGGCAAGGCCTCCTGAACCTGACCCTGTGAGCGCCTAGGCTGCCGTCACTCCACCGAGCAGACCCACTGTCATCATATAGCACTGACCCACAACAGCTCCATGGCAGGGCTGGGATTTGAACCCAGGTCTGTATACTTTGGAAAGTGACCTTGAGGATGGTACCTCTGAGGGGTACAAGGATCTACTGCCCCTGTGCAGAGTACCCCATATTTTAACCCCATACTGAAGTGGAGGAACCCATACCTTGGTTCAGGACTAGAGCTCACCCCAGCCCAATGCTGACCTGACAGAGCAGAGGTGGTTGAAGAGGAAACTGGGGCCTCAGTGGACAAAGCCAGAGCCCTACTCTCCTCCAGGTCTCCCCTACTATCCTAAGCTGTGTTGCGGGGGGTGGGGGTGCTGAGGGGTGAATAGTGCAGCGCTCCTCTACAAAACTGAGTAGGAGCCCTGGAGTAGGAGGCTGGCTAGCAGTTGCCAGAGGGCCCTGGGGCCCAGTCTTTGCTTACCCATGGGGTCTGAGGAGTCAGTGATGATTACATCGAAGGCATCCTGGTTCTGTTTCATGAACTCAAAACCGTCGCCCACATGGAGGGTCAGCTTTGAGCTGGAGTAGCCAACAGCCATGCCTGGCAAGAACTTTTTAGAGACTTGGATGACATCCTGGTGGGAAGGGAGGGGACAGAGGCTCAGGACCAGCATCTTGCCCTGAGCAGAGCTCAGCACCAGCCTGGGCTAGGGGACTGGAGCTCTGGAGCCAGACAAGAGTTGAATGGGACCCCCAGCTGTACCCCTCATAGCTGGGTCACCTTGGGAACCTCAGTTTCCACATGTGTAAAATGGGGAGAACTCTGGTACCTCCCTCAACACCTCATCATGCCCTGGCTCCTGCCAGCCTCTGGCCTCATTTCCTGCCACAAACCAAACCTCCCCACCTAAGCAGCTTTCTGATTAGCTCCTATTTCAGGGCATTGCAATCACAGGCTTCCTGCCAGGAGAACCCTCCCCTGCCAGTTTCTCACTCAGGTCTCAGAGGCCTGCCCTGACCATCCCCACTCTTTAGCCTGTTCCCTTTTATCTCATCATGCCTTTATCAGATCACCTTGAAGTTTCTTCTTAATTAACAGTATCCAGCTCCAGGGGCCAGGGGCTGAGCCCAATAGTATTCCCAGCCCCTAGAGCAATGCCTGCATATAGTAGTTGCTCTAAAAATGTGCTCAGTACAAGGGCAGATGCATGCACAGTTGTGAAGGTCCCTGCAGCCAGCCTGGGCCTAAGGATTAAATTAGTTCCCATTACTAGGAACTAGCACTGCCAGCACCCCTGCTAAGTGCTAGGCTCTTGGCTGCCTTGACTTTCCTTCTGAATCTTCCTAACATCTTTTTTTCAGATAAGGAAATAGGCCTAGAAATGTTGAGCAACTTGCCCAAGGGCACAAAGCAATTAGGGCAGAGTTGGTCTCTGAATGGCTGTGCTGGAATTAAGGAGCTGCTGCTACTGATAGAAAGAGCTTTGGTTGCATAGTGCCTTAGGCATTTAACTGCAAACCAGAAAGTTGGTGGTTCTAAACCCACCAGCCACTCCCTGGAAGGAAGACTAGGCAATTTACCTCCCTAAAGATTTACCACCTTGGAAACCCAAAGAGGGTTGCTATGAGTCAGAATCGACTTGATGGCAGTTAGTTTGGTTTGATTTTTGGTTGCTACTGACAGGAAAGGGCATGACTGGCAGCACTGGAAGAGGCTCCCAGACTAGCGCCCTGCTCTGTGCACGTACCTCATCAATTTCACACTGGACCACAGCCTCCACAGAAGGGTGCTTCACCACTTCCCGCAGGACACCCCCATCTCCGCCCCCGATGATCAGCACCTGGTGGGGAGGAGGACAGTGAAGGGCAGGGGCTGAGGAGACACCAGCCCCACCTTCCAGGGTGCAGCAGGACTTGGTGGTCAGATCAACACACACAGAACCATCTGGGACAAGGACCCCAGTTCTTCAGGGTCTATCTGTCTTAGGAACATGGCACTGGTGCCCCCTGTTCCTGTTAGCTCCTCTTGAGGCTACACCTGAAACTTCAGGCCTCAGCCTGAACTGTGTGCTTCTCAAAGACTGTGTCAGCCTTGTCCCTAAAAAGTAGACACGCTTTTTATTCCCCGTCCTCAGCAGCAGTATCTCTCTCAGTCATTGAGGCAGCACCATGGACTGAGCACTGTCAGAGTCCTGGAGTGACACTTTGGAGTCAGCTCTGTTCTGCAGGACACTGGTCACTGGGCTCGGGGATGAGGTCACCTCCCCGGGCTTGCAGACCCTGCCCCTGGTGGCAGGCAATGAGGGGTGGGGTGCAGAATACCTTGCGTGGGTTGGGGTGGCTGCAGAGGGGCAGGTTGGCAATCATCTCCTGGTAGGAAAACTCATCCCTCTCGGTGCACTGGATGACGCCGTCCAACACCAGCACATTGCCATAGGTCTTACTGCAGGCAGGGCAAGCAGGGTAGGTGACCCGACCTGCCCTCTGTGTGGGAAGGTCTCCTCCACCCCCCCAAGAGGTCCCAGGAATGAGTGCTGGGGGTGACACGTGGCGGCAGATCTGCAGGCAGGCAGGCCGGCTGGGCGGGGGCTGGGGTTGGGCTCTGGGTCTCCGCCTGCTCTGACGTGTCCCCAGACTGACACGTGGAGCTCGCACTCCAGGGAGGGGGCAGACTCAGGACCCCTCCCTGCCCAAGGGGTCCGCCTGAAACGCTGGCCCCCAGTTGGAGAGAATGGATGTGACATGGGGAAGGGACTGAGTGAGAAGGGCCTAGTTCACAGCAACTTCTGACAGTTTTGCAGGGGGAGGGTCGGGGACACAAGCTGCTCAGGGGGGATCCGGCAGGAAAAGGGGAGGGCATCAGGGCAGGAAGGGGTCCTAGCTTGGAGGGAGGCCCAGCGGGAGAGGGCAGCGAAGATTTGAGTCGGAGGGACAAGGGATGCGGGCCGGGCCGGAGGCGGTACCTGCGGAAGACAAGGATGTCCTGGTACCGCGAGCGCTGATGGTGCAGCAGCTGCTCCACCTGCAGCGACAAGGCCTGACCCGGCCATAGGCTGCAGGTCTCGCGGAACCAGCCCTCGCGGATGGCGGCGGGGCCGGGGGCA